TGAGTAGTGGACTCGTGTGCGCAAAACCATTTCAAGTTGGAGTCCCGTAGGATAGCCTAGCCAAGAGTCAAAGCTGGCTTGCTGCAACAACTCCACCAACCCTTCTTGATAATGTGCATGTATGTAGGATCTGATGTAAGTCTTGCTGAGTACCTTTGTACTCATGTTGCTATAATTTACATTTTTACAGAAGACGCTGCAACCCCTTCTGATGGGTTCTTCGTAGACGTTGACATCAATGAGTAGGCTAAGGCCCAGGTGGTGATCCTGAGCTTGTGAAGGACCACGTAGTATAGCTAGGCTCTCCAAGCCTCTTTTATTTTACTAGTTGTCTATACACAGACAAGTTACTTCCGATGCTGGTTTGTATGACTGTATGACTTGAATGCTGGGTCGTGTGACCCGTACCTATGTGTATGTTATGTATGGCTCTCTGAGCCTTAAATAAAGTACTTGTGTCGTAGAGTCATGTTGTGAGGCCTTGTTGTATTTGCACATATCGAGCATATTATGTGTATGATTGAAATGCTTGGTATGTGTGGGATCTGACTATCTAGTTGTTTATCTTTAGTAGCCTCTCTTACCGGGAAATGTCTCCTAGTGTTTCCACCGAGCCATGGTAGCTTGCTACTGCTCCGGAACACTTAGGCTGGCCGGCATGTGTCCTTCTTCGTTCCTGTGTCTGTCCCTTCGGTGAAATGTCACGCATTGAGTACCGGAGTCCTGTTAGCCCGCTACAACCCGGTTTACCAGAGTCCTGCTAGCCAGTGCTACAGCCCGGACCCACTTGCTGATGACCGACACGTTCGTTGCTGGGTCATGGATGCCTGTCCCTGTAAGTCCGTGCCACTTTGGGTTTACGACTAGCCATGTCAGCCCGGGCTCCTTATCATATGGGTGCTAGCGACACTATCATATACGTGTGCCAAAAGGCGCAAACGGTCCCGGGCAAAGGTAAGGCGACACCCATGGGAATACCGTGCGTGAGGCCGCAAAGTGATATGAGGTGTTACATGCTAGACCTATGTGGCATCGAGTCGGGGTCCTGACAGCACCGTCATCGTTTGATAGTGTTGGACGCTGCATATCTTTCTCTGCTCTCCATTGTTGCATTCAATGCACTTACCAACACGTCTTTGTCTCATGCGTACAAGTAGCGGGGGCAGGCGAGCTCGTGTGCTCTACCGCCGCTCTCAATGGTTCTCCTCCTTCTCTAATTTTCTACGCAGCAAGCGGTGGAACCGTGGAAGGGAGAAGGCAGGAGAGACGAGGGGTGGTAGAGGACGAGGATGGTGACGAAGGACGCCTTTTCGCAATGACGAGTCCTTATGTTTTGTCCATGCACCATGTGCACGGCTTTCAAGATCCATGATCCACGTCTATGGGCTAGTCTTTTTTTGGGCAATTCTTCCAAAACTGACCCCCTCCCAGCTTCTTCCAGAATTGTCACTTCATATTTTTTTACAATTCCTAACTAATTAGACCTTAACTAGTTAGGAATTGTAAAGAAAAATGGAGTGGCAATTTTAAAAGAAGCTGGGAAGGGAGTCAATTCTGAAATAATTGCCAAAAAAATTGGCCCTATATATCAGCCACACCAGCCGGCCAGCCAGCCAAGATCGACCGGTGTAGTTTGTTCCATGTTGTGCTCCCCCGTTGCTGGCTCCCTCGTGTGCTCTCATGGCTATAGGGGTGTGTGTGCGTGTTAGGCTAGGTATATGCACCGAGGTGCGTGGCCGTGCTGAGTACCGTCTTGCCCGCCTGCCAGACCATAAATATCACCACTGCCGACTGCAGATGCACAAACAGGCACTCAACCTTGAGCCGTCGCCCACAGATCGCATCTCGTCGACAAATGGTCCGAAGAAGACGTCTTGGCCTTCACCTTCTTCGACCAGTATCGGAAAGCATGATTACTATAGTTTCTAGAAGTGGCGAGGCAAGGAAGAACGAGGAGATAGAGGCGGCGGTTGTTGTCTTGTCCTGTTATCTACTCCCTTCGTTTTAAAATAGATGACTCAACTTTATACTAATTTAAGTTAGTACAAAGTTGAGTCATCTATTTCAAAACGAAGGGAGTATATGCTTTCTCATCTCTATAAAAGCTCCTTTTACTCAACTCAGGCCGCCCGCTAATTGAGCTAGTTGTACAACTTATTTTAAAGAAGCATAGCTAGTATTACTAGGTGTAGCATGTTTAAGTAGTGCCTCAACCATGATCGACAACCACCACCACATTGTGATGGTAAACTAGTGTAGTTCATAAAAGGGCACTAGTAAACCAAACAGATCTGGTCTCACAGGACAATCACAAACAAACAAACAGAAAGTAGGAGTTGTTAGTGTTCGTACCATTCATCATAGTAAATAAACAGGTTCTCTCGCCGGCAAAGAATTGAAATAGGACATTGCACAAAATAGCTAGCCCTGAAAAGGGCTCTTTTCCATAAAAGGGGTTCTGGATTGACGCAGCTCACCAGCTAACCTGCGAAAATGCTGCTAGCAAACAGACAAGGCAACTATGCGAGTGGATGACGTCTTAGCTTTACACATTGAAGGTTCGTTGGTTAAGCAAACTTTTGCAAAATTCAGTGGCTTAGAGGCAACTACAACGCGGTTCACCAAAACGCCCCCAAATGTCTCGATCTTGACATTTTGACACAAAAACACAACCACCACCGTGCATCAAATGTCCGCGGCATGGCTTGGACGTCCGAAATCCACATACCAATAGTAAAGTTGAGAGAGGTTTGTGGCGTCCAAACATCCGCCACATAGACCACTGCAACATGTTCATGTAATTATGAGATTCTCACATGCCAAAGAAAAAGTGTCAAATCCAAAGGTTTTCTGCTATAATTGCTTCAAGAATGATGGCGTGTGTTTTAAAATGGCCCTAGTATTGTCCTTGTTGATCATTGAATAGTTCTTCTATTTTCAGTACATGCAATCCAATGATCCAATCACACCTGAAAATCTTCTTGATTCTCCAAATTCCTTGAGCATTGTTGTGTCTGCGGCATCTGGTTCTCTCAAGTACTTCAGCCCAAACACCTTGGCCATTGTAGTTGCAAATCTGACCAGGGAATCGAGGCATGTGCTCCCAAACATCCCACGAATCTACGACTGTGCCATAGTCCAGCTTTTTCTTCTGAATTGTGTATACTTCAAAAATGAATCACTCTTTTCAGTATGAATGGCTCACTCTCCCATTCTTTTCAGCTAGGGCAACAGCTAGGCCCGTATCTTTTCATGCCGAGCACCGATCGATATCCTTCGCAAGGGCAAGCATGCATCCTCATGCCAGCCGTGCAATTCTATTAACTAGAGAACCCAATGCGTCCAACGACATTGTTCTTCAACTTTAAGTAATCATCATAGGCCCTGACAACTTGGCAGGTGCGTCCGAACAAATGTTGCCACATCCGAAATTACGTCGAAAATATGGCTCGATAGCGCATCAAGGGTAAAGTAGTCGTCGCACAACATCAAAGGTGCATGTGCTCTGTTTTGATTTGACACTCGATACCCCTTTATTGCATGTAGTTGAGAACATGCTCCGCTGCATTCTTCGTTTCTCAAAATCACCCTCATCCTCGTTGTTTCATCCTCATTTGACGAAGACGAAGACGAATCCATGAACTCGGCATAGAAGCGCTCCTCGTATGAATCCACTGTGTTTTCTTCAAAGTAAACAACATGAACGTATTTTTTTCTCCTATGGCATTTGTCGAACAATTGTTCAGCGTAGTGTCGCCCGTTGATGGCGTCGGCAGTGGCAGAGGGTACTCGGTCGGTGGCTGGATCTGGATACATAGGTGTAGGCCAAGGCGGGCAGGCGCCTGGGTCGAGCGGCGAAGGGTCAACAAAGCATGGGCGGCGTCTGGGGTAGTACGACAATGACGTCGGTCTTTGGGAGCGTGGATACAAGCACATGGAGGGATGTACCCAAAAAAACGAGGGCTTCAGGTGAGCCGGGGGTGTCGAAGTCCGACGTGGCGGAATCCCCCAGATGGATTTGATGAGCCACGTTGGATGGTTAAATGTGTCTGAACCGTCCGATCCAAACATTTACCGGAGGTATGATGATCCACGTTGGAAATGCCATTAACCAACAACAGTAGCACATGTATCTAGGACTTTTTTTTAATAATTTGGATTGCTTATCAAGCATACACGGTTCCGTCCTCCAAAAATGATACTTCCTCTGGTCTTTTTTACTCAGCATATAAGAATTGTCTGAAGTCGAACTCTATAAAGTTTGACCATATTTATATGAAAAGATATCAACATCTACCATGATAAAGTTATACAACATAAAACTTTAAGTCATGACGTATCTACTAGCATTAATTTCACATTATGAATGTTAGTATTTTTTTCTATAAAGTTGGTCAAACTTTACGAGGCTTGACTTAGACAAATCTAATTTGCGAAATAAAAAGGAGCGGAGGAAGTATAAACTTCGTTTACCGTTTCAAAGAGATCTCTCTTTACATGATCCCGACGCAGCACGACTACTCCTGCATAAAAAAAAACTGATACTACATGGAGCACGGGCCGTGTACGTACGTCAGCCAGCCAGCCACCGCGTGGACCGTAGGGACGCAGGCGCGAAAAGGCCGGCCTTGTCCTGCAGCCACAGGAACTCGCGGTCGGCGAGCCAGACAACGCACCGCCGATCCGACACCCGGCCGCGCCGGCGCCCGCCTGCTGTTTGCTGGCCGCCAGTCTCCCACGCCACGGAGCCACGCAACCGCACTGCTGCATATACCACCGCACAGCAGCAGCAGCAGCATCGTCCTCCACCCCCATTTGGGATAGCCGGACGTGTCCCTCGTCCTCCTCCTCTGCCGCTGCCCCGCGCCTTTCCGGATTAATTGCCGCCCGCAACGCCCAGCGCATGCACACGCACGCACTCGGCATAGTTTAGTGTAGGGTCGCCGTGCTCGCCCAAGCAAGCAAGGCCGCTACTAGTAGCGCCTCCCGCCTCCGCGGCCATGGCTGCACCCGCGCTGGCCAAGCGCCCCTGCAGCAGCCCCTCCGCCTCCGCTTCTTGTCGCGAGGCCAAGCGGCTCCGCCCGGCGCCGGCGCCGGCGCCCATGGAGAGGCACGACGCCGCTGCTGCCGCTGCTGAGGTGTCGACGACGACGTCGCAGCAGCAGTCGCAGCCGCTGCTCCCGGGCCTGCCGGACCACCTCGCGCAGCTCTGCCTCTCGACGCTGCCGCCGCGCCTCATGCACGCCGTCTGCCGCCCGTGGCGCCGGCTGCTGTACGCGCCGTCGTTCCCGCCGTTCTTGTCCCTCTACGCGCTTCTTGAGGACGCCGGCGACGGCGGGGCCTCCTTCGCGGCCTACGACCCGATCGCCGCGCGCTGGGACGGGCTGCCGGCGCCGCCGATGCCATCGCCGCCCCCGACGCTCTGCCACCCGTCGTTCCTCTCCCGCCGGCTGCCGCTCCAGTCGGTGGCCGCCGCGGGGAAGCTCGTCCTCGTCGCGGGGTCCACGCAGTCGCTCCACCCGGCGCTGTGCCGGCCGCTGGTGTTCGACCCGGCCGCCGCGCTGGCCCCGCGGTGGCAGGTCGGCCCGAAAGTCCCGCTCGCCCCGCGCAGGTGGTGCGCGGCGGGCGCGGCGCGGGGGCGCGTGTTCGTCGCGGGCGGCGTGGGCGCCGGCTACGACCTCGCCGTCGCGCGCTCCGGGGCGACGTGGGACCCCGCCACGCCGTCCGCGCCGTGGGAGCCGCTGCCGCCGCTGCGGGACGGGCGGTTCAGCCGTGACGCGGCGGAGGCCGTGTGCTCGGGCGGGAAGGTCTGCATGGTCAATCTCCGCGGCAGCGGCGCCAAGGAGGGGGCCGTGTTCGACCTGGTGGCCGGGCGGTGGGAGGACATGCCGCCCGGCATGCTGGCCGGGTGGAAGGGCCCCGCCGCGGCGTCCCCGGACAGCGGCGACATGATCTTCGTCGTGGACGAGGAGCGCGGCGCGCTCAACGCCTACGACTGGGGGTCCGACCGGTGGGCGACGGTCGCGGAGGCGGGGCGGCTCAAGGGCGCGGCCGAGATGGCCGCGGGCGGCGGCAGGGTGTGCGTCGTGTCCCACGGCGGCGCGAAGGTGGTGGTCGTGGACGTGACGCCCAAGGCGGGGAGGAGCAGGGGCTCCACGACGCCGGCGCCGCCGCGCATGTGGGAGGTGGAGGCGCCGGCCGGGCGGCGGGTGGTGTCGCTGCACGTGCTGCCCAGGATGACGCGCCCCGAGTAGGCCTCCTCCCACCCTCCCTTCCCGCCACTGTACAAAGTACAAACAAACTACAAAAACAAAAGGCTCTCCCTTTGGCTCGCCTTCTCTTCTTCCTGCGGCGACTCCGCATCGGCACGGTACTCCTATGTCGTAGTAGTAGTACATGTTCATTTTAGGAGCGCCTGCGAGAATCGATTTTGGTTCATGTGTTCTTCTGCCCAACGGCTACCAGCTGGATTTCGAGATTTTGATTTTCGAGGGGTAGACGCTAGATTCCCAGTTTTTGATTCCTGATTTCTTCTGTGCTGCTCCTCTGATCCTCTCTGTCCAGATTGCAAGGGAAAGCAGGATTCGAGATATTTTTTGGTTCCTTTTCTTTCAGAGATACTACTACTCCAGGATAGATCCGTTTTTGTTCTCGACGAGCAGGATAGATCCGTTAAACCCAATGCCGGCACCCTGCGTCGCTTTGAGCCGGCGCTTTCTGGACGCCGGTGGCGCGCGGTCGCCGGAGAAGTCCCGCCACGCAAACCTGGTACTACTAGATATTTTCTCCGCCCGGCCATGGCCGCACAGCGGGATCGCCGCCGCTCCACGGCTTTCCGCCTTGATTCCCCGGCCACACCCGCCGCCATCGCCACGTCCCATCGAGCCCATTAACACGGCCCATGCACGCCGTTACCTCCTCAATTAACGCACGTGCCCTCTCCGGATCACGCACCGGCTTTGCATATTCCCGTTCCTTTCACGTCCGCCGCGGACGATTCTCCTGTCCACGGGCCCGGCCGGCCGGCCGCTAGTCTCCAAACGGCGAGGGCCTCGGAAGGTGGCGTATGCCGGCGGCAGGATCTCGCGGGTCCAATCAATGCGGGCATTTTCCGGCGCTGCTGGCGCCTTTTCCCTCGGGGCCAAGTAATGGCGGGGCGAAAAGGGTTCGGGGAAAAGGCCGGCGAGAGGGACGGGGCGGGCCGGCCGGAGACGGAGACGCGCACATGTGGGTCGGGGCGGGAGGGAGGCCATCATGTCGTCCGGTCATCGGCGACGGGACGGTTTGGGCCGGGCGAATTCCCAAAAGGTTTGGCTGCTGGCCGAAAAGGGTCCGCGTTAATTGGGACGGCCGCCGCGACCGCGACGCGGTGTCTTGCGCCGGTTCGGTCATGCCTTAGCTCACCCTGAGAGCTCTCCGTCGGTTTATCACCGCCCGTTTCCCAAACCGTGTGCCGGGGATGTAGAACAATTTTTTATAAAGGGTGTCTTATTAAGGAGGTCGGTAACTGTCACACGTATGACACAATCGACACCCGACCACACGAGTCGTATGCTTGTACTCAGGAAACAATCGACATGATCTTGTGTGGAGGAACATTATAACTGCCCATACGTACGGGTGAATCTACTTCGTGCCACACGCCGAATCAACAACAACTACTCACCCGCACCCCGCAAGTGTGGCAAGAAGCAATTCCGCCCTGACATTTTTTGATGGCAACTTTAGTTACCGCTGAATGACAACTTTAGTGTAAAGCATGGCAACTTCTCTGTTTCTTTTTTTGGGTTTCGTTCGGGTTAACTATAGTTGCCATGTGTAAATGACGGTAGCTGCTACGTGTGATCAAACCATAGTTGCCGTGTGTGATTAACTAGTTGCCACGTGTGGTCAAACCATTGTAGCCATGTGTGATTAACTAGTTGCCACATATGCACACCAGTAGTTGCCGTCTATTATCGTGTGAGCGTCGTGTGGGCAAAGAGCAGTTTCGGTCACACATTCCGGCGAGCGTCCTGTGTCTCGTTCGGACGAGGAGCGCCCACACATGTGGCACTAAGTGATAACGCCCACACGACGCTGAGTGCTTACGTGGCTCTCCACCCAGATGGCATATGCTTTGAAATTCGTGCAAATGGATCGAACGACATCGAGTGCGTGTGAGTGTGTTGATAAGTACCACACGCGTGGGTGTTATCATTTGGGTTTTTTAATTCAGTTTGAAAATACAGTGCATCATAAGCGACATCCCGCCTCTTCGTCTCTAGAATGCACATAACCAAAGGTAACAAGTACGACTATAATATAAAAGAAAATAATACCACACATAGGCATTAGTGAAGATCTATAAGAGCGACGCTATGACTATGTCGAAGGAGGAGGAGGTCCGATCAAAAGATTATGTTTTCACCCATATTAGGTTAAAAAAATCCTGGCTACCTACTCAAATCACGTACACACCGTTTTGAACATTGATGAATACTCCATAAGGTGTAACATATACCACATATGAGGTTAGTGCGTACAACGAGCAATAACATGCAAGGAAGAACAGTGTTTGTCATTAAAAACAAAATCATTTCGACTTAGCAAAAGAAATTATAATAAGACATACGCTCCCATGCTTATTAGTGTCCTAAATCTATTTTCTATTTCATTCAGTCAGTGACCATATATATTGGCAAAACTTATGGGCGGGTACAAATTTAACACTATTTGGATGACTGGCAAAGTAAAACGTGCAAACTTGATTTGTAAGAAGGGGTGTTTGATCATCTCGTCATGAGCACTTCTTACTTCCTTGACAGTTGCGCCGAGCGAGGTTATCTTTTGTCAGCATGACACCTCTCCAATGTTACCACATGAATATCTTTATTTTTAGCGGTATCTTCGATTTCCATATTTTTAGCCATCGTTTATCACAAAAGACCCAAAACGGAAAAGTGCTACTTTACCGACATCAGGCCAACCCAAAAATGCAAGCCCCCGGCTTCCAAAAAGCCTGAGGCACTGCTTTTTGACCTAGATACTTGTTGTGTAGCAAAGCTTGCGAGGCATCCTCCTCAGTAAGAAGCTTGAAGACCATTACTGAGTAAGGCATCATTCTTGACCTTGAGGTCATGAATGCTTAGACCTACCTGGTCCTTCGGTGGACAACCACGCTCCATTTGGTGAGGCGGTATTTTTTTACTTTTTACTTTCTCCTTGCCAGGAGAATCTCGATCTGAAACAATCCATTCTTTACAAGACCCCTTCAGGCAGTGGAAAAAATGAAAGCATATAGAGAACCATGTTCGTGAGAACTGAGTTGGCCGGAACTAGTCGTCCACCAATAGAGAGCACTAAAGAACAAAATGGCATACTCATGGCACCTTTCTCCAAAGAGGAGGTGAGAGCTGCGTGTTGGGGAACGTAGCAATAATTTAAAATTTTCCTACGTGTCACCAAGATCAATCTAGGAGATACTAGCAACGAGAGAGAGGGAGTGCATCTTCATACCCTTGAAGATCGCTAAGCGGAAGCGTTACAAGAACGCGGTTGGTGGAGTCGTACACGCAGCGATTCAGATCACGGTCGATTCCGATCTAAGCGCCGAACAACGGCGCCTCCGCGTTCAACAAACGTACAGCCCGGGGACGTCTCCTCCTTCTTGATCCAGCAAGGAAAGAGGAGAAGTTGAGGGAGAACTCCGACAGCACGACGGCGTGGTGGTGATGGAGCTGGTGGTTCTCCGGCAGGGCTTCACCAGGCGCTACGGAGGAGGATGAGGTGTAGGAGAGGGGGAGGGGCTGCGCCAGGGAAAGGGTGTGTGGCTGCCCTCTCTCTCCCTCGCTATATATAGGGGGAAGGGGGTGGAGGAGGCGCCCTAGGGTTCCCTAGGGGAGGGCGGCGGCCACAGGGGAAACCCTAGATGGGTTTGGGCGCCCCCACCCCAAGGAAACTTGCCCCCCCAAGCCGGGAGGAGTGGCTGCCCTAGGGGAGGCGCCCCCACCTCTCCAGGTTACGTGAGATCGGGTGGGAGGGGCGCTCAGCCCCTTAGTGGGCTGATGTACCCCCTCTCCTTGGCCCATAAGGCCTCCCAACGCTTGTCGGGGCCTCCGAAACCCCATTCGGACACACTCGTCGTCACCCGATACCCCCGGAACAATTCCGGACTCCATTACCCTTCGTCCAATATATCGATCTTCACCTCCGGACCATTCCGGAACTCCTCGTCATGTCCGGGATCTCACCCGGGACTTCGAACAACCTTCGGTAACCACATACTATTTCCCATAACAACTCTAGCGTCACCGAACCTTAAGTGTGTAGACCCTACGGGTTCGGGAACCATGCAGACATGACCGAGACATCTCTCTAGCCAATAACCAATAGCGGGATCTGGATACCCATATTGGCTCCCACATGTTCCACGATGATCTCATTGGATGAACAACGATGTCAGGGATTCAATCAATCCCGTATACAATTCCCTTTGTCTATCGGTGTCTTACTTACCCGAGATTCGATCGTCGGTATCCTCATACCTCGTTCAATCTTGTTACTGGCAAGTCACTTTACTCGTTTCGTAACGCATGATCCCGTGGCTAACTCCTTAGTCACATTGAGCTCATTATGATGATGCATTACCGAGTGGGCCCAGAGATACCTCTCCGTCATACGGAGTGACAAATCCCAGTCTCGATTCATGCCAACCCAACATACACTTTCGGAGATACCTATAGTGCACCTTTATAGCCACCCAGTTACGTTGTGACATTTGGTACACCCAAAGCATTCCTAAGGTATCCGGGAGTTGCACAATCTCATGGTCTAAGGAAATGATACTTGACATTAGAAAAGCTTTAGCAAACGAACTACACGATCTTGTGCTACGCTTAAGATTGGGTCTTGTCCATCACATCATTATCCTAATGATGTGATCCCGTTATCAATGACATCCAATGTCCATGGTCAGGAAACCATGACCATCTATTGATCAACAAGCTAGTCAACTAGAGGCTTACTAGGGACATATTACGATCTATGTATTTACACATGTATTATGGTTTCCGGTTAATATAATTATAGCATGAACAATAGACAATTATCATGAACAAGGAAATATAATAATAACCATTTTATTATTGCCTCTAGGGCATATTTCCAACAGTCTCCCACTTGCACTAGAGTCAATAATCTAGTTCACATCGTTATGTGATTAACACTCATAGTTCACATCGCCATGTGACTAACACCCGAAGAGTTTACTAGA